GTCCTACAGGGCCAGAAGTGTTTCTGCCTTTGTTTGTATTGCATTACAAACCTGTCAATTCAGCACAGTCCTAAGTCAAAGCACCAGAGACACAAAGAAAGACAAAAAACACTCCCAGCCCTCATGGAGTTTACAATCTAATGGGAGGGAGAACAATAAGCAAACAACCATATACAAACTAGATGTATAAAGGCAAATTGTAGATAATGGGAGAGGAGGGGCTTAAAAATGCTTTTTGACTAATTACTTTTTTTTGGTTTGGTTTGGTGGCATGAGAGTGACCCTGGGGTTTCCTAGCAGGCCCTAGTAAGATGGCAAAGTGGATAGAGCACCAGGGCTTTGAATCAGGAACACATGAATTCAAATCCAGCCTCAGACACTTACTAGTTGTGTGACCTAGGCATGTTACTTAATCCCTGTTTGCCTCAGTTTCCTCACCTGTAAAATGAGCTGGAGAAGGAAATGGCAAACCACTGGATCACAAAGAGTCAGACATAATTGAAAGGACTGAACAATATCAACACAAAACTGTAGGTCCCAACTCACAGGGTTGTAGTAAGTCTTCAAAAAGAGAAATGTTTAAAGTGCTCGGAAAGCCTTAAAAGGGTCAGCTATCAAAGTCATCATAGATCTTTAAAGCATAAAAGTATAAAATAAAAATCCAGGGCCACTTTCCTTATTATGCCAATGTACTAGCAAACAACAATAAAAACTAGAAAAAGCCAAATTGCCTGGTTTGCCATCAAAAGAACAAAAGTGTTGGGCTGTAGAGAAAGGATCCATGAAGCACTTAATTTCAGGCAGAGAAACCAAAGCAATGTTAAAACACAATGTTATTAATAATAGATAATACTCAAAAAATGCTTCACAAATATCTCATTTTATCCTCAAAACCTCTGGGATTTAGGTGCTTTTAACTCATTTTACGGACAAAGTAACATAAAAACGTGACCTCTTTGAAAGCAGAGACTAGGGTTTTTTTGGTTTGTTTTTTTATGGTGGTTGTTTTTTGTTTTGGGTTTGCATTTCTTTTTCTCCTCAGAGTTTAGCTCAGTACCTGGCACACAGTATTTAGGCAAACAGAGATAAAGTGACTTAGCCAAGACACAATGTCTGAGGCCCAACAGGAATTCACATCTTCCTGACCCCAAGTCTACCACTGCACCCACTGCACCACCTAAGTGAGTTAGGTGGAAGAGACCATCAAGTAACTCCTTCATTTTACTAGTGAGAAAACTGACGTCAAAGAGGAAGGAGAGTGACCTACTTAAGATCACACTTTAATTCCTTAGGTCTCTCCTTTCAGCTCCCTGGTCACGCAAACAGCCCCACATTCCAGCAAACCTGAATCCCTCAACTTAGGTGACCAAATTGACAACAGTAGCCAACATTTACATATTATGTGCCAGGCCCTTCGGAAAGTGATTCATTCACAATGATTTCCTCATTTGATCCTCACAACAAGCCTGGAGGTGGGGGGGGGGGAAGGGGTAAATGCAGTTATCCTCATTACACTTGAGGAAACAGAGGCAAAGACAGCTTAAGTATATTGTCTGGGTATATTTTTTAATTTTTATTTTTAGTGAAGCAATTGGCGTTAAGTGACTTGCCCTGAGTCACACAGTTGTTAGTCTTATGTGTCTGAGGCCAATTTGAACTCAGGTCCTCCTGACTCCAGGGCCGGTGCTCTACCCACTGTGCCACCTAGCTGCCTTGAGATGTTGTATATTGTCCAGGGTCACAAAGGTACTAAACGTCCAAGGTCGATTTGAACTTCTGCTTCCCAATTCCAGGTCCAATGTCTCTCTCCAACGAGCCACCACAACAATAATTAACACTGACACGATGCCTTCTATATGCCAGGTACTGTGCTAAGAGCTTTACAAATATCTCCTTTTACGCTCACAACCCTGGGAGGTAGGTGCTGTTATTATCCCCATTTTACTGATGAGGAAACTGAGGCAAAGAGGTTAGTAAGTGACCTGCCCAGGGTCCCCCAGGATTCTAGGGCAGAGCTGACCCAGGGAGCATAAGCCGAGCGGGGGGTCCCCCAGATCCAGGGCCTGAGCACCAGGCAGAGGAAGCTTCCTAAGATTTCCTTCAGTCTGGCTTGGGGAGGGGGTGCCATGAATCCCGCCCCGGAACTCGCGGCTGCCCCCTTCCCCTCCCGATTCCCAAGAGCCCAGCGCTAGCCTTTTGCAGCAAGCCGCTGTCCCCAGAACCTGCCCCCGGTGCCGAGAGCCCACCTTCTCTGGGAGCACACGCGTGCATCAACAAGGTTCTCACAGCGCCCCCCGCCACTGCCCGCGCCTCCCATTCCAAAGCCCAGCCGGGGCGCGCGCCCCACGGTCCCGGCCTCCTGCCACGGCACCTTCTGCAGTCGCAGCCAGTCTTTGCCTCCTCGCAGTTCAAACCCTGCCCCTCACTGGGACTCCGCTGATCCGGCCCCTTCCCTTTCCGGGAGCAGCTCTCGCTAGGTCCTAAAAGCCGCCGCATTGGCGGTGTAGACAGCCTACGGCCCAGCATAGACTGACCCCGACCCCAGCTAAAGCATAAATCCAGGAAACACGTTGTCCCTGAGACGGTGAGGCCCCGGGGAAGTCGCCTGACGCTGTTTTTTCTAAGTCTCATTCCCCTAATCACTTTAAGTCCTTTTACCCCTCTATTACCTTAAAAAGGTTTCTCAAAGCAGCGCTTGGGACATCCTGGAAGAAAAACAGAAGAGGTTTTTCATTTAATTTTTAATGGGATTTGCAAAATACGTGAGCAGCTGAGATGCTAACAGCTGCCTGTCTGGTAACAGCAGCTGCGTAATTAGATTCCAGCAATACCTGTAGAAAAAAGGGGGGGCCGTTTTTTCCCCCATTCACTGGACATTGTATCCCCAGGGCCCAGCACAGTTCCTGGCACATAGTAGGTGAACAATAACTGTTTGTTAGTTGACTGATAGTTCAGCTTTTTTTTCCTTTTATTTTTTTTTCTTTTTGATAATTCAGCTTTTTAGAAAAGGTGGCAGTGGGGAAGTCCTAGATTTGGAGCCCAAGCTGTCCCTCTAACATCCTTTGTCACTTTTCGTAAGTCACTTCACCTTTGGGCATAGGTTTTCTCTGCTAAAGAGAGGAGTAAGTGCTGGACCTGGAATTAGGAGGCCTGAGTTCAAATTCAGCTTCAGTCACCTACTACTCCTATTACCTTATTCTATCCATTGTGTCACCTCGTTGCACTTTAAAATAGCACTTACCTCCCAGCATTGTTATGAGAACTGAATGAGATAACCTACTTAAAGCACTTTGAGCCTTCAAGCACATAAATTACTAACTGCAGTTAAGTCTGAGGACAGTGAATACACCACAAGATTTCACTCTTAGAGAAAAACTAGGATATACCTTGTAGAACTCACATGAAGTTTATTTTTTTGGTGGAGCCTCAGTGTTATTTAAAAAAAAAGCTGAAATAGCCAATTAATGGTCTACTTTCGATATCCTTGATGTTGTCTGTGTGCCTGGATTTGAATTCATATCTTCCTATGGCCCTTATTTCCTCCCCGCCTCTATTTTATCACCTACCTGCCACTTACAAGCTGTGTGACACTGGGCAAATTACTCCTTCTTGTCTCAGTTTCCTCATCTGTCAAATGAGGAAAAATAATAGCACTTACCTCCCTTGGTGTGAGAATCGAATGAGATAATTTGTAAAGTGTAAATTGTAGTGTCTTATAAACCTTAAAGCCCTCTACAAATGCTAACTATCTTCATCATTATTAAGCATTTAAGATAACCAGTGACAATTGGGAAGCATTGGATTTGGAGTCACAGGACAGGAATTCAGGCTGTTTCTAAAAATCTGTGTGACCTTGGTTAAATCACCCATCGTAACCTGTTTTCTCATCCATAAACTAAAGGGATTGTTCTAAACACTCTCTAAGGTATCTGCCTGCTCTAATCCAATCCTCATCTGTCCTGCTGAAAAGAAAACCTAGGTAAGCAAGGCTCAAAATAATCGCAGGTGACAGTACACAATTAAATGTCAGCTGGTAGGACTAATGTGGAACTCACCAGTGCTCTCATCATGGGGTCAGAGAAGTGTAAGCACTGTGATAACCTCATCTCTTTTTACCCATCGCTCTCTTCAGCTCCTTCCCTCCTTCATACCACGTCGGCCCCACTCATTTACACCCAACCATAAAGAGAGAACAGAACTGGGAAAACCCTATGAAACTTCTGTTCCTTTCAAGTCACTTCATAGGCTCAGTGGATTTAGAGGTAAGAAAAAGACCGTAGAAACCATTCATTTAACAAAGAAGGCTCAGAGAAGGCTGGCCCAAGTGGTAGAGTGGGGATTTGCACCGCGATCCAGCGTTTTACCCAACTACACACATTAATTAGGCACAGGCTAACAAACAGGTTGTAAACACCTCCAGGGGTATCCTCAGAGCCTAGCAAAGAACCCGCCACGTGGTTGGAGTTTTCTTAATACCAGTTGATAGACTTGATTTAAACTACACGATACGCCTAGAGTAATGAATCAGCTGTGTCTAGATATTTCCTTCCCATCTCCCGGTCACCATATAATCCCAACTTGTGTCTACAAAGGTGTTTTTTAAATACTTTTTCCTGTTTTATTCACATTCTTCCCAGTCTGCCAAATTGCTATGTACAAAGCAGGAGATCAATAAAATCTGCTGAATGAACTCAGGAATGAAGACACTATTCTTTACAGATTCCAAACCTACCAGATGATCTCCCAAGCTCTTCCAGGTTCAACAACCGGTGATTCCCCTCCCTAAACGGCAACACTGGAGACGGAAATAGGAGGAGCTAAAAGAAGGCATACACTTGGCCCCAGAGGCTGCCGGTTCGGGCTACTTTCTCTTTTGAGAAGGGGAGTGGCCAAGCGAAAGCATGTGACCAATGAAAGCGCAGACTTGAAATGACGCGGCAGCGGCAGCCCAATAGGAGGAGTGTAGGCGTTGCTAAACTGCAGTTGGCTTTTTTCCCCCA